TGGATTATCTCAAATCACGACGGTGAATCACCGCCGTGATTTGGGTTTCTAAAGTACGTCGGTGGAATAAACGTCGATTTTTTACCTAGAACTATGACAGTTTCCTCCGTCCTTTTTTTGGCATAGTGAAGGCTTTAAATCATGATAGTGTTGATATCTCTTTAACTAAGAAAGTAAAAGTTAGAACATGTATAACACCAAATCAATATCAATTTGATATCTTTAACTAAGAACTAAGTGAAAATCAACCAAATCAAAATCAAAATCAGTTGGAAAAAAAAAAACAATCAAAATATATATTTTACTCTTTTCTTTACGAGTGGGTTCAAACCACCTCCTGATTTAGAAGTGAGATAATATTCCAACGTGGTACTTTTTAACACTTCTTGACAAGTGGGTACAATACTACGAAGTAACTAAATCCTTAATTCACCAAACCAAATTTGATATATCAAATCCATATTCTTAAACAAACCTCCCCAACAAATCTGAAACTACATCATGAATCAAATTCTTAACCAGATTTTAAGAATGGCGGTAAATTGAATGCAGGCTCAAAGTCAAACTGAGGGTCAAAGCTCACCATGAATGTTTAAAATATACATGCTACGTACTGCATGTTTTACTTCTCCTGTTCATGAATCTGGATTTGAGGTATCTCATATCATGAATAATCACTGAAACTAATATAAATAAAGTTTTATGTGCTCCTACTTAACCCCAAAAAGACAGTCGTCAAATGGGCTTTTGCTTGGTACCCCGTCCAAAAAATGATTGATCGGCTGTTATTTTGTCAAAACAAGACACCAAATTGATATTTTATCTAAATTTTCCCAAGAAAATACACACATATATAAAAAATGCATTACACTGTTTTACTGGGTAAAAATTATATTACACTACTAAACATGACAAAGCTTTCTTTACAAACGAGTCACTTTCAACTCAATTGCTAGTGTTACCTTATCTTTGATGTCATCAAAAAATCGAAAATAAGCATACCTCCATGATTTCTTCACGAGTAATGTGCCACAAACACCCCAAAAGCCTACGATAAAGCCAAGTACCATGCCCACATAGAACCACATCTTATCATTTCCATCTTCATTACTGCGTTTTGCATTCGTAATGGTCAAAGTGTCATCTCCAGGGCACTTAGTTGGAAGAGGAAAGCCACAAAGTGATGGATTGCCCATATAAATGGAATAAGTGAACGTTTGAAGTTGGCTGCCCAAAGGAATTCTCCCCACCAAGTTGTTATTAGCCAAATTCAAGCACGGGTCACTTATGATCCTAATACCTAAGTGGGTGTATTTTTCTTCTTCTTGCATGTGAAGTTTCAATGTACTTCATGTGAAGCCTGTCATTGTATTCTTGCCACCCAACACAAAAATTTAACAAAAATTTATAGCAAGTTGCTTTCATTTGATGCAATAATGATTTCTTATTTTGTAATACCTAATACACAGATACGTGGTATAACTCATTTACGTGTTATAATACGAGTGAATAACAATATTATGATTTCCCACTTATATTATAAGACGTGGACGAATTATATCGCGTAGTATGACTACGATACTCATACTCTAATACCATACTGTAATTACTTGTATAGCATATTGTGTTGTTAAACTGCGAATTGATATCGCATATATTAAACACGATCATTGACTTTAATCGTCGGATTGTGTGGACGGAAAAAATTCCTTTTAGTATAAAATTAGACGTTGATGTGATTAAAAGATGTACAATGGACCTTTGATGTTGCAAATTATATGTTGAACAAAAAAGAAAAAGAATGTCGACAAAAAAAATAAAAGAAAAGGGTAAGCACAAGCAGCAGAAAGGGACAACCAATCAATCAATAAATAAATAATCATGTTAAAAGGATAGGTGTTTTGGATAAGCGTTTGATTAATTTTTTGGTGATCGAGATGCTTTGTGTTCGTGGAAGCTTGGGGGCCCATAGCTTTACTAGGCCTATTTAAACATGGAGGGGCCCTAATTAAAGGCCACTTTAAACGAAGTGATGGTTTCTTGTCACGAATAAATATGGTTTAATCATTTATGAAAGGCATAAAACGACGCCGTAGAACCCAAAAAACAATTAGTGAGCAAAGACTCCTCTATTGAAACCACGACTAAGAAACATCAAAAAACTTATTTGGTACACTAATTATCTTGCCAAAAAGCATTGCTATGTGACACAAAGTTAGCTTCACGATACACACGAACCAATTATAGATGTCGGCATTGAGAAAGTAAAAATGGAATATCTCAAACAAGTGATGTAATTCACCATGCTAGGAAGCATGTTTAGTGAGAATATTATGGTGATTCGATTCGTTTTTAACCAATCTTGAAATGGGTATTGGAGTTATCTTGATTCATGACTTTTCCTTGCCTATATTAACACATGAATGTTTGAACTATTCTGATTCTTGATTTCCCATGCGTTTACATTGCAATAAGTCGATATTTCGTAAATATGAAGTACTAATATATCCATGAAATTTTGTGTGAGGGGTAGCTATTGGTGGGCTTCTACAAAGCCCAACTGCCCATCAAAAAACCCACTAGCCCTTCAAATCAAACCCAGGATTTGCTTGGCAGCTCATTACCCAGGCTTAGCTCACCCGTGAACCTCCCTTGTTGGGTTCTTCACCTGTCGTCGCCTTCTTCAGCTGAATCAGTTGTTTGTTCTTTCACAGTGAAAGTCTCACACATTCCTACCCACCTACCTTCCCAGCTTGGCAGTTTCAGCTCAATCTTTCATCCTTGCGTTGCCTCCAAAGTGCCAAAAAGGTATTTCTTCTTTGGCATCGTAGTTTTCCATTTCTTAGTCTTCGTTTATACTCTCAAAGTGAGAGTAAGCTTTTTCTTTTTGTTGTTGTTTTTGTTGCCTTTATATGTATACAGGTATATCAGTTTCAGTATAACGATTATATTTATAATTTTCAATGAAGTATCAAGATTTCAGCAAGCAAAATTAGTCGAACTACTAAAAACTTAAGGTTTCCAGACAGTGGGCAGCTGCCTACTCCCTTATCTCATAAGAGCATTTCCGCCCATTTACCATGGCAAAGGGCAATGGGAGGCAAGGGCTATTACTGTTGACGTGAATAGTGGCAGCCTTTGCAAAAGGCAAGTTGTGTTTCCACCAATGGCAGACCCAGGAATATTTACAGTGGTGGGCTAAATTTTTTTTTTGTTAGGATCAATTATAAGCCCTATTTTATATATATATATAAAGCAATATTTCCTTCCGTTGCATCTGCTATAAAAGCCTTGTGCCTAAGACAAAAATTGTCATGCAAATTTGCAACGCAGACAAACGAGTCACTTTCAACTCAATTGCTAGTGTTACCTTATCTTTGATGTCATCAAAAAATCGAAAATAAGCATACCTCCATGATTTCTTCACGAGTAATGTGCCACAAACACCCCAAAAGCCTACGATAAAGCCAAGTACCATGCCCACATAGAACCACATCTTATCATTTCCATCTTCATTACTGCGTTTTGCATTCGTAATGGTCAAAGTGTCATCTCCAGGGCACTTAGTTGGAAGAGGAAAGCCACAAAGTGATGGATTGCCCATATAAATGGAATAAGTGAACGTTTGAAGTTGGCTGCCCAAAGGAATTCTCCCCACCAAGTTGTTATTAGCCAAATTCAAGTGCGACAAGAATGTTAAAGATTCAAGGGTTTGAGGAATCTGTCCTGAAAGACGGTTGTTTGAAAGATCAAGAGTTTCGAGCTCATGCATATTTCCAATAATCGAGGGGATGTTACCAGTCAAATGATTCCTTGACAAGTTCAAGGTACCCAATAAAGTGAGGCCACCAATTTCTTGAGGGATTTCACCTTCCAAAATATTTGATGAAAAATCAATGCTCTTTACCAGCATTAGAGTGGTGTTATACACGCGTTCTTGTCCTTTTAATGTCACCATGGTTTGCGGAAGATAGTAGTCGTTGTATATATTGGAAACATTACGGATGAGAGAAGTCAAATTATTGAAACATCTGGGAATAGTACCTGAAAAGTTGTTGTGGCTGAGGTCGAGGATGTGAAGGTAGCCAAGATTGCACAATTGTCGGGGAATATGTCCAGTAAAAAAGCTGGATCGCAATCGTAGCATGCACAACATGGATACATTTGATCCTCCTATCCATGGAGGTATTCTCCCAGATAATTTGTTGCCTCCAAGATCGATACTTTTCAAAACAGAGCAATTGTGCAAAGAATCGGGAATCTTATCGCCAAAATTGTTGTTGTTGAGCTTCAATATTTCAAGAGTACTTAATATTCCCATTGAAGTGGGAATATTACCAGAGAGATTGTTGTAGGCAGCATCTACAATGGTTATCTGGCTCCACGAACTCCAAGTGTGGGGGAATTTTCCAGAAAAATGATTGCTCCTCAGGGAAAGGACTGTCAGGTTTTGCATGTTGCAAATAGAAGGTGGAATTGTACCATTCAAATGATTCTCCGAAATATACAATTCTTCCAATTTGGGCATCAGTTTGTCAAAATTGGAGGGAATTGGCCCGTAAAATAAATTGCTTTCGAGATCAAAGTAAGATGCATTAGTGGACCAAAGTGGGAATGGGCCCTCAAATTGATTATGAGCCAAATTTAATAAACGTAACTTCGGAAATCTCATCAATTGGTTGGATGAAAGCCTTCCTCGGAATTGGTTATAAGATAAATCCAGGTATTCTAGTCGGGAAGATAGCTTCAAAAACCATTCCTCTGGTATAGAATCTGATATTCCAGTTCTACGAAGGACGACTTGTACTAGTTCAGTCTGAGATTGAAGCCATACATGAAAACCAGGACCTACTTTGTAGTTTCTAATCACAATTGTGTGGAGCTTGAAAGAAGGAACCCAATCATAAGACAAGTTGAAAACGATGGGCATGGGCTTCTCTATGTCATCAAGATTGTTGCCTATTGAAAGACTTTTCAATTTGGTGAGATTAATGAAATGGGCTTCCGTTAGAATACCTTCCCATGAATTTAAAGACAGATTGAGTTCAACTAGCTCGGAGAGTTGTCCTAGACTTTGTGGAATGGACCCGTTCATGTGATTACAAGAGAGGTCCAAGTACTGCAAACTTTTTAACATTCCTAAGGAGGCCGGCAATTGGCCTTCCAACACACAACCAGACAAATCTAGTGACTCTAATACTAGTGTATTATTTGGACAATTTGATAAACTCCCCCAAAACTCTTCAATCCCCCCACCATCAAAATTGTTCTCGGGAAGATGTAATGTCTTTAGCTTGCACAAGTTTCCAATGACTCTGGGAACTCCACTACCTCTGAGCCCCAAATGAGATAAATCTAGGTATTCAAGAGATTTGAGGTTTCCAAGATCAACTGGAAAAGGAGCACTGAAAGAATTGTGGCTTAGATCAAGTTCTTTGAGGCTAGTAAGATTGAAAATCCAGCTGGGAAATGAAGAAGTATTGAAATCATTAAATGAAAGATCAAGGACCAAAAGTGAGGTGAAGTTAATCTTGTGTAATGATAATGGAAGGCTTTCTATTCCGCAAAGAGATAAGTGTAACTCCAGTAAGGAAGGAAGCATGTTAACAACATGCAGCCAACCTGTGCTGCTACTAAGATCCACTTCATTGAGATTGAGGTATTTTAGGGAAGAGAGATGAGAAAGCCAATTCAAGTTTTTGGAATATATTTTGGATGAAGAAAAACAGACATCAAGATAGTTCAAGTTTGACAAGTTACCAAGAGAAGGGGGAATCTCTCCTGTAAACTCTGCAAAGGAGATATTGAGATACCTCAGAGTTTTAAGCTCCCCAAAGAACTTAGGAATTTGGATCCCTTCAAAATTATTCAAACTTAAGTCTAGGTAATGCAACTGTTTCAAGCTAAGCAAAGAAGGATTTATCTTACCCCCTAGGCGAGACTGGCTATAAGCAAACTCGTCCCACTCTTCAACAGCCGTGGACTTGTCATATGTATTCCGGAGATCCATCTTGGCAACATGACCGGTGCGGTTGTTGCATGAAATCCCTTCCCAACGGCAATAATCATGACCCACCCAAGAAGAAAGCCTACCAGACATATCATTAAGATCTTGTTTAAAGCTCAAAAGTGCTTTCCTTTCTTCCTCAATGCATATTGGTTTCACTTTCATACCCGTGCTTGCAAGTCCAATATCACCCAATAAGCACAACAAAAGGAGCAAATACTGGGAAATATTCATCAGGTGATAGATTTTCATTTTTCGAATCAAGTTTTCTCAATTTGATGCAGATGAGCACACAATAAGTGAACTCATACATTTATATAATTATACAAGGCTGCTAGCGTGTGTAAAAATCCACCCATTTTGCAAGTTTGCAAGTCCAACACATTTTCTTGACTTCTCATCACTTTCATTGTCATCAATGCCGTAAATATTATGGCTAATTAAAGATGACTTTATAATTGGTCAGTTTGGCAAATTCTAGCCATGGTTCTCTCTCTGTCTCTGCACTATCTGAGCTGGCGCACCTTGAAATTACAAAGAACGTGAGCGAGAGGGCTTTCTAGTCTCCATAACGTGCCAGTACCAAACAAATGCCGACCCACGTGGGTTGATACCGCAATGGATAGGGATTGAGGATACACAAGATTCCAGGCCATTAACCCATTTCGCAACTTGCAAGTCCAATCTGGTACGTGGAATGGAATAATATGCATTGTCTTGACTAAACTGCATGGTTGGTTCCCAAATGCGCATGATTGGCTTCTTACTTATGCATGAAATTGTTGGTAAAAAAATAAAGATAATTACTATATTTACAGAATTTCAAAAATAAAACTTCATTATAAATTTGAAAAAAATATAAGAAAATAACGACAAGGCAAAATTAAGAATACTTTACAAATGATCGAGTCTAGAACTTGGTTCTATCTCCTTAAGACGAAATTGCCTCCCCACAGGTGCTTTTAGGATTTGATTGGTAAACGTCTCCTAGGATACAACGATCAACTTCTTGTTGAAGTAGCACTCCAATCCCCAAGAAAAGCGAACTCAAAATTGTGTATGAACTCTCTCTTACGTACTAACTCACTATGTTTCTGAAAATACAATGCTATGAATGCTCTAAAAACTACTATTGTCAGATGACAATTGGCTGAATGAAATGTTGTAGGACCTTCTTTATTTATAGGCAACAAGGCCTCTGTTCAGAAAATTTGTGACTGAAAAATATCAACAAATGTGTATTTTACGTACTAACTCACTATGTTTCTGAAAATACAATGCTATGAATGCTCTAAAAACTACTATTGTCAGATGACAATTGGCTGAATAAAATGTTGTAGGACCTTCTTTATTTATAGGCAACAAGGCCTCTGTTCAGAAAATTTGTGACTGAAAAATATCAACAAATGTGTATTTTCCTATTACAACCATAAGCCAAGAAGTGCAATGTTTTAATTACTATGAAACAATGCAACTTTTCACATAAAGTATTATTATTTTATTTTTCCTCTGTTAAGAACATTACTATTCCCAATTGATACATACCAATTAGTAATTATTCCACTTGAGAGCAGTTGTCTTACGATATTATGTCTTCGACGTATGTGTCGAGACTTACCATTATACATATTAGTTTGTGCCCTTCCAATTGTCACTTGATTATCACAATGTGTACATATTGCGAGCACAGGCTTTGGCCAATTTGGAATATCTTCTAAGAAATTACAAAGCCACTCAACTTCTTTCTCCAGCCTTAAACAAAGCAATAAATTTAGATTCCATAGTGGATCTAGCAATACATGTTTGTTTTGTAGATTTCCAAGATATAGCTGCACCTCCTAACGTAAAGACATATCCACTTGTGGAGTTTGAGTCTCTCGTATCTGATATCCAGTTTGCATCACTGTAACCTTCTAGTACAAATGGATATTTTGTGTAATGCAATCCATAGTTCTTAGTATAGCTCAAATACCTAAGAACCCTAATAATCTCTTTCTAGTAATCTCTTCTAGAATTGCTTGTATATCTACCCAATTTATTAACTGAGTATGCTAGGTCAGGGCGAGTACAGTTTGTGACATACATCGAACTGCCAATTATTCGTGCACAATCAACTTGTCATATACCTTGACTAGTGTTCTATGTCAAATGAAGATTCACATCATATGGAGTCTTTGCAGGATTATATTCATACTTACGATATTTGGCAAGTATTTTCTCAATATAATGTGATTGAGACAAGACTATTCCATCTGATGTTCTAGAGATTTTAATTCCTAGGATAACATCTGCAATTCCCATATCTTTCACATCAAATTTATTGGACAAAATTCTATTTGTAGATTTAATCATATCATTATCGCTTCCAATGATAAGCATGTCATCTACATAAAGATATACATTGACATAACCATTTTGAGTGATTTTTGTGTAAACACATTTATCACACTCATTAATTTTGAATCCATTTGACATTATTGCATTGTCAAATTTCAAATGCCATTGTTTTGGTGCTTGCTTTAAGCAATATAAAGACTTAACAAGCTTACACACTTTCTTCTCTTGTCCAGGGACAACAAATACTTCTGGTTGTTCCATGTAAATTTCCTCTTCTAAATCACTGTTTAGAAAAGCAGTTTTAACATTCATTTGATGTATTTCAAGATTATGCAAAGCAGCAATTGCTATTAGCATTCTAATGGATGTTATTCTTGTAACTGGTGAATATGTATCAAAGTAGTCTAAGCCCTCTTTTTGCTTATAACCCTTTACTACAAGCCTCGCCTTATACTTGTCTATGGATCTGTCTGCTTCACTAATACAAAAATTGAAATAGACGACGGGGAAACATCGTCGTCTTTTTCTTTTTCAAACCGTCGTTAAATCGACCGTCATCTTTTTGAAAGTCAAACTACGACGGTAATTAACCGTCGTCTATTATATGTAAAAACGACGGTTTTTAAAAGAACCGTCGTCTATTACATGTAAAGACGACACTTTTTCTGAAAAAACCGTTGTCTATTTAATGTAAAGTCGACACTTTTTTTATTTTTATAGAACTGTCGTCTATTAAATGTAAAGACGACACTTTTTCTGAAAAAACCGTCGTCTATTTAAATGTAAAGACGACACTTTTTCTGAAAAAACCGTCGTCTATTTAAATGTAAAGACGACACTTTTTCTGAAAAAACCGTCGTCTATTTAAATGTAAAGACGACACTTTTTCTGAAAAAACCGTCGTCTATTTAAATGTAAAGACGACACTTTTTCTGAAAAAACCGTCGTCTATTTAAATGTAAAGACGACACTTTTTCTGAAAAAACCGTCGTCTATTTAAATGTAAAGACGACACTTTTTCTGAAAAAACCGTCGTCTATTTAAATGTAAAGACGACACTTTTTCTGAAAAAACCGTCGTCTATTTAAATGTAAAGACGACACTTTTTCTGAAAAAACCGTCGTCTATTTAAATGTAAAGACGACACTTTTTCTGAAAAAACCGTCGTCTATTTAAATGTAAAGACGACACTTTTTCTGAAAAAACCGTCGTCTATTTAAATGTAAAGACGACACTTTTTCTGAAAAAACCGTCGTCTATTTAAATGTAAAGACGACACTTTTTCTGAAAAAACCGTCGTCTATTTAAATGTAAAGACGACACTTTTTCTGAAAAAACCGTCGTCTATTTAAATGTAAAGACGACACTTTTTCTGAAAAAACCGTCGTCTATTTAAATGTAAAGACGACACTTTTTCTGAAAAAACCGTCGTCTATTTAAATGTAAAGACGACA